TCGAAGTCAGCGAGAGCAAGGCTGTTGAGACCTGCTCCAGCATCATAAGAGCTTTTCTGCGGTGGTCAGTAGCTCTGCCGTTGTCGGTTTGGTGGTGCTGGTGGCGGTGATCGTGGTGGTCTGGAGATGGTGTTGAGGCCGCGGAGGAGACCAAAGCCAGCGCCAGGCTCAACACCATGGCCATAGAGGCGGCAAAGGACAGGAACATGATCTCGCAGCGCCTCGCATTGTGAAAGCCTTGTTTCTCAATAGGAGCTCCGCAGCAGCGCCGCAGTGATTCTTCTTCGACATTGAGGAGTTGCAGCTGGCGGTCTGTTGTTGGTCGAGGCAAAGGGTTGTTATGGTCTGCGAGGATCATCATGAGATTCCAGGATCGCTTCACAACAAGCATTGAGGCGCTGCAAGCTTGCTGCAATGGTGCACGACCCTTTGGAAGCTCATTATTTCAGGTGGTCAACCCCTAAGTGCTGCCAATGGAGATCAGACATTGCATTAAGCCTTTGCAAGAGTCTTAGCATCAGTCGAGTCCATCTCAAATGCAGTATTAGACTCAGAGAGCTGAAGGCCTCCTGTTCCATGGGACCTGAAGTGCTCATGAGCCCTTGGATGCTCGTCGAGGCATGGGAGCAGAAAGGGCATGCTGTCAAGGGAGACATACGCCTACTGACACGCCCCATTGCCGTTGCCGTTGCCAGGGCCAAAGGCCAAACAAACTGGACCCTGTGTGCATACAATCCCCGCAACGCTGCCGCCTCGTCGTCGTCATCGCCGCACAACTCTCTCGCTAAGATCCCACAAAGTCTCACCAACTTCTACACCAGATATACCCAATCTGAGGTCCTATCAAGATATAAAGGCCTGGGATGTACTATATTCCATCATCCCACCTCCGCGGTGAAGACGCATAGCGTAATGGAAAAGGCACCTCACCTCTTTCCGTGGTTCACACCCAGGTTCGATCCTGACCGCCACCCATCAGGCGGTATATAAATATGGTGGGCTAAGGTACGTCCTGTTTTTCCTAAGGTCACTAACAACAGAGGTTCGGCAACAAAGAGGTTCGGCTACGGCTAAGAGGTGAAAGAAAGATTAGGATCATCGTCGGGCAGCTTCAATCCCTATAGCTGTCCGATTAACGATGATCCGAACTTTTTGTTTTTTGATTTTCCTTTTTGCTCTGCTATGTACATGATTTCCTGCTCCTGTCTTCTTTTTGCCTCTATCTCTCTTTTTGCCGCTAAGCGAGCATACGCTGTTTTGCTACGCAATAGTGCTCGCGATTCTTTTAGGTGAAGATGCTGTATGCTTACAACGTACGCATTACGTTTGTATTAGCATAGGTAAGAAGTCTAGAGAGCAACAAGTCGCCGGAGTGTTATCGCAGCCTTGGGCGAACATGTTTTTGCGATCAGTCGCTGCACCCGCGCTTTCTGTATTACCAAGCAGCTTTAGCTGCCTTGTTTAGCACGACGGAGAGGGAGCGAGCATCTGCCTTAGTCTTCGTGCGACGCAGCATGCTCTTGTGCCTGCGAGTACCTACTCTTTATGATTCTGGAGTACGAGACAGACGCAGTAGATCGCAGCACAACGCCCAAAAGCGCGCGTTGAAACGAAAAAGTCAAGCTACTAGCAGAGCAATGCAACGCCCATCAAGCCGCATTCGGATGGCGAGCTTTGGTTTAGTCTCATGAATTACTACGCTCCCGCGGACTCCAAGAAGCAATGCGAAGAAGACTTATGCCATGTCGCTGATGAAAGCCATCATCGTAGGCAATAAGCCCATCCTCTCCTTTGAGCCACGACTAGTTTGTCAGGAATACAGCTTCTGAATCAACTCGGATTGAGACGTGCGTCTTGGTTCTGCTTCCTTTCCCGACGCATGTCAAAGATGTGTCTAAACGAACTTCTTACGGATCGAAGTCACATGGTGCGAAAGATTCATCACAGTCAACACATCAAATCTTAGCTGGGTTTGCATCGAATAAGATGGGCGTCTTGGTTCCACAGCTACATATGTTTCCACCCGGTCTCGATAATGACTTGCATCTCGTTGACAAGGCAAAAGCCGCCGGGCTCCGACTTCTTTGTTTCCGCAGTCCACTTTCCCAACTTCATACGTACGACCTGCTCCTTGAACAGGCTGGTTGTAGTCCACCTCAATATGCGGCTCCGCCACAAAGATCGAAAGATCTGGAATGGAGACAGTATGACTTCCGGCGAGTGTACGGCGTCATGCGAGGTACCGTTGTAGCCGACTCTGACATTGGGGTTGAGGAACACGCCCTTGCTCGCGGAGAGAGGGTTGTCGGCGTGTATTAGGCAGCACTCAGACGCTTCGACATGTGCTGTTGCGAGGGAGTCGGGTATGCCGCGGAAGCGTAAGGGTGGGCTGGCGAGGAAGGGCTCGATGGGCATAGCCACTACGCATTGGTCAGTAAGTGCTAAGGAGGTAAGACAATGGCAGACTCACCTATTCCATTCCAGCATGAGGAGACGGGCACTGGCAACAGCTTCTCGGCTGCGTGCCTCGAGGCGTACGATCTGAAGTAAGGCCAAGTTTGCATCAAGGCTTCATGGCCGCTTGAGTCTCGGAGCGCAAAGGTATCGTAGAACTGCGGCGGCTTCTTAAAGTCGATGGAGCAGGCTGCCGCATAATGTCCGCCATTGGTGTCCAGCAATCGCAGTACGTCTTCTGGGGTGAACACCACGTCGTTGAGAAACAGTATGGTGTCGAAATGCTCGCCCTCCGCAGCCAGGCGCTCCAAGGGCTCAAAGACATGATTCCGTATGGTCGCCAAAAATGGCATTCGCCTCAAGTATGTCTCCCCGTCCGATGCTTTAATCCACCCATGATCCGTCGGCTGTTGCGCAATCTCATCCGCGTGCGATCTGTCGGAGAGTTGTATCGACCTCTTCACCTGCAAGGGTTCCAGCGCAGCATCGAGTTCTTTCAGTACGCCCTTGGTATAGTCATAGCTGCCGCTCTCGTATATCGATACGAACACGTTCTCGACGCCCAGCTCTTGTACCAATGCTACCAGCGCGTTGTTCCAATGCTCCCGGAGTAGTCGCGCATCATTCCAGTGCTGGGAGGCTATGTATATGCGCTTCGTATTACGAGGTGGAGGCGGGCCGGTCGTTGCAGATGTCTGGTACTTGGACAAGGAGAGACAGTGCAGCGAGTCCCAGACAAGAAAGAAAAGGACCAGTATCCGGAATGCTGAGTATAGCGGATGGCGGCGGAAGGAGTAGAATCTATGACAGCGCATTAGGAGACTAGGTTCTTGCGCAACTGCAGTGCCATTGAGAAGGGAAGGTTATAGCGCTCGCGACGAAGCAACAAGGACAAAGGGTGTGGTGAAGGCGCGCGAGTGAAAGAATGGAGCAGGTGCAACATACCACGAAAGTCGTTCGCGCCTCCAATTGAAGCTCCTGATCTAGACGTTTGGGCGAAGCAAACGTCCGGGCCCTTGGTACAAACCTAGTGTCCTGCTAGGAACGGCACTTGGGTCGTATTGTAGTAAAGCCGAGATGGCCGTTTCATCGAGGGGCACGATGGTGAACCGTGGATTTCACTCGGCACCTTTTTTTAGTCCAATCAATTTCCCTTCCGTTCCGTAGGAACCGTGTAGAAGTGATTGCGCGAGGGTGATGCGACGTACAAGTGCAGCTGGTGGGCCATCTTGTGGTAGTGTGCTGGGTGACTTTTGGGTGACAGCTGGAGCGACGGCGTCAGGGGCCAGACGCGACGGACGCGTTTACGTCAGTGTCCCCGCATCACGTGGTTGCCCCACCCAACATTAGCTCTCGAGGGCAGACAGGGCGACTTGGCCTCGGACCTTCCCTGACTTCGACAATGGATCTTTTCAAATCGACTACTTTCTTTTGCGACGTCGAGGCATGTATGCGTTTGCGATAAGGCATCATAGTGCTTACTGCTTACGCCATCAATGCAAGATTTGGCTCGACGAATAGCAGAAGCTGCGAGCAGCCACATCTGATAATGCAGCCTTCCTTTGTCAGCAGCTCCGACCCTGCTTTTTTGCGCACACAGTATCGACTTACAAACACCGGGGAGTCTGTGTTCGGACGAATATTATCGAACGTTTCTATCGGAGGACTATCGATACCCTTTATACTGACAATTTGGTAAGCCTGCTATCAGTAATCTCATCATGTTCGAGTATGCATTGCTTTCTCATGGCTACATTGATAGGATGACTCCGACCGGAGGCTTTGAGGCTGATCGGTAATTACTTCTTTCGGGTGGTACATGCTTACCTCGCTTCCTATCCCGCCAATCTGGTGTCTCGAGCATTCGCATCTCCGACCTCTCCGCACATTCGTCCGTCCAAGCGATAACATTATATGTACACACTCTACAGACGCCGCAGGTATTGGTCGATGAATCATCAGATCTGACGTCCGATCACGTTTTATGTCCGCTGACTCCGCTAACACCAGAGGCTTTTCATTGAACTAACGTCAGAGAAGTGTCCGATGAGTTGCAGCGCTGGAAATCTCTAGATCGGCCTAGTACTCACTGTAGCCTGCAATGGCGCATCAGTACGTGGTCGAGGGTGAGACTCATCCTCGTAGATTGTTGCCGTTTTAGGAGCTATCGGGGACATATGCGAAGAGCACGCTATCGCCATAGCACAACTCGCTGACACAACGTCCATATCCTGTCGTTTATTTTTCGCGCCAAGAGCTGTACCTTTCAGTTGCGCATGAGTCTGACAAACCCAGATGCTGGGCGTGTAAGACGTGGAGTTAAGATAGCAGCCACGATGGAGGATATAAGCCTGTAGCACAGACTCTCAGTGTTGTGCAACATCACCACGTTTCAATACTTATTTTACAAGCCCGCCTTCCTCGGAAACCTTCCTATCTTCCTCACATCTGGTAGTCCAGGGCCGCTACTGCTTCCTCTGCTTACCTCTTCGTTCTGTATAGCATCTCCTCGCAATCGACAACAACCTTACGATAGCATCGCCAAAATGTCATACCTTTTCAAGCACTCCTTCATCGGAACCTTAGCCCATTACATCAAGCATCGAAAATTTGACTATGCGCGTACAAAAGCAAAGCCAATATCTACTTCGTCGTCGACTGACGATCTCCCTTTCCCAAAGGAAGCCGTCCCTGGAGCTGGAGATGCTGTTGGCACAGAGCTTAAGCAGCACCAGACGACCCTCGTCGACTGGGATGGACCAAGCGACCCAAGCAACCCTCAGAACTGGCCTCAGTCCCACAAAATACTTGTGACTGTGCTACTATGCGTCTACACCTTTGCCGTATACGTCGGCTCTTCAATATACACATCCTCACAACAAGCGGTCATGGACAAGTTCGACGTCAGTCATGTCGCGGCCTCGCTTGGCATTGCGCTCTACGTTCTGGGCTATGGTATCGGGTGTCTGCTCTTCTCGCCGCTATCTGAAGTACCAGCCATTGGCAGGAACCCTCCGTATGCGGTATCTGGATTTTTCTTCATCATCCTGTGCATACCGACTGCGCTGGTGGACAACTTCGCTGGTCTGATGGTACTGCGCTTTCTCTTGGGATGTAAGTGACGTTCTTTAGATCAATCATACGACACATACTGACTTCGACGCGCAGTCATGGCCTCACCCTGTCTCGCCACGGCTGGCGCATCGCTCGGTGACATCTGGACGATGGCTGAATTCCCATTTGCGGTTGCGCTCTGGGCGGCGGTTGCGACACTCGGTCCCGCACTTGGACCCACACTATCTTCGTATGCCGTCAAGGACTTGGGCTGGCGCTTCTCAAGCTGGGAACTGCTCATCATCGCAGGTCCAGTATACCTCGCTATATTGTTGGTCCTACCGGAGAGCTCCGGACCCACCATCCTGTACTACAAAGCGAAGCGCATGCGAGAGGATACAGGAAACCAGGAGCTGATGTCGGCCTCCGAGCGAAAGCAAAAGAACATGAAGGTCAGCAGCTTGCTCTTCGACGCGCTAGTCAAGCCTTGGGAGATCAATGCCCTCGACCCCGCCATCTTGTTCACGACGGTGTACATGGGCTTGTGCTACGGCATCTACTACTCATTCTTCGAGGTAAGCACTCGCCTTGCTCAAACCACAAAGACGCCCACTGACGCATCTATCATAGTCTTTACCTCTCGTATATCCTGTATACTACGGCTTCAACGCCGAGTCGACCGGCCTCGTCTTCCTCTGTATCCTCCCAGCCTGCCTTGGCGCCTTCGCAGCACACGTGTTGTACCTCAAGTACCGCGTCTTCCCCCGCCTCATGAACGGGACGTTCGGCGAGCTCGAAAACCATCTATGGCCCGGAATGGTAGCTAGTCCCGTCATCGCCGTAGGGCTGTTCATGTTTGCATGGGCATCAAGACCCTCAGTCCACTGGATGGTGCCTACCATCGGTCTCAGTCTTACTTGTTTTGGGATCTACTTCATCGCGCAAAGCGTTCTGCTGTACATCCCTAACATCTATCCGACATACGCAGCCAGCATCTTTAGTGCCAATAGTCTTAGCAGAAGCGCGTTTGCGTTTGCGGCAATCCTGTTCGCCAGACCCATGTTCCAGGGTATTGGGATCGATGGTGGTGTGAGCTTGCTGGCGGGATGCATGGTGTTGTGTTCGTTTGGCATCTTTGCGCTATACAGATACGGCAAGACATTGCGAGAGCGGAGTCGCTTTGCTGTCGCATGATGAGGAGGAAGTAATGAATGGAGGCTTGTGAGCTGCGTTGCGTCAACGCCGATTGGAAATGAGACGACATGGACGGGCATGCTTTGGAGGGACATTAGGAAACTTGCGACTTTTATAATACCTGCTTAGACTGAATAGATAGACACGAATTCTGTACAACTTCACTCACCACTGTCGTTCTCCTAGGCGATGTGAGGTCTGCTTAAGCGTGCAAAGAAGAGTGCCGCGCGGTCGTATTGGATGGGGATCGGCGAACGCAAGCCCATGATTTGCACTGGGCACCACCCACCCCGCCGCGGGTCTGCACATCACCTCGCACCGACTGCGCAACCCGTTCACGTTGCAGACCCCGGACCCGTCATACCACGCACCACTGCGCATATGTCATGTCCTTCTGGCTTTCGTGCGCGAGCGTGAAGAGTCTTGTCGCGAGCTTTCAAAGAGGGCTCCAGCGCAATATACATGCGCGCCCTTCCCAACTCCTTCGCCCGGCAATCTGCGGCACGCGCGCGCTCCGAGGTTACATTCATTCCAAAATCCTGCGATATGCTCACGATGACGGAACACCGGCACTGCAGATGACTCAGAAGCACGAGGGGCTATCCTTACGGCCGATTCTGCGATGCAGCTTTCAATGGCTGCCGCCGTGGTCAAACCATTGGTCCCGCGTCAGCGCGTTTGCTAGCCCTTGGGCGTGTCATTTTCGCGATGCCAATGGGTAGCCACTGTCGCGAACCTCCCGCAGGAAAACTTAGTCTCAGGCTAGACCCACACACCTCTCCACCAAGAATACTGCGCCGTAAATCTTGGCTGACTGATCCGGCAGAAGAACGGTCAGGCGGATGATATGTATACGAAGGGCGCAGCCAGATGAACAAGGCGTAAGTGCTCGAGCAGACCATGTCTTTGTATTGATCGCTACTGTCACACAAGCCAAGACGGCTGAAGATAGACACCCTTATTTGAAGGATGCGGTTCTGACAGGGCTGAAAGGGTCTGTCTCGAAAAGGAATGGTTAACGCTCGGTGCCCCTGACTTAAGCATCGCTTGAACCGTAGCCGACGCCATCCCAACACCAACTCACCAATTTGTTCGGACCGGTACCCCCATTGGGATGAAACCACTGCAACCATGCAGCCATGAGAAGATTCCTGCAGGCAGCCACCGAGAGACCCGGTGTTTACACTGTCCACGGGTACCGACTGCAGATTCAGGAGGTCGCTTTGGCACCAGGATCTTCTTCTTCCAACTCACCCGGGATTGCCAAACCAGCGCAAGACGCAATACCAACCCGAGCAGAGGTTGTTGGCTTTATGTGTCTGTCCATACTATAGGCATGCAACAACGACGCCGCCGGGAAGCTGGACCGAAGGCCGTCCTGAGCCGTTCCATTATGCATCAGCAACTCTCCTTCCTTTTGCTGACGGTCGAAGGAGCACTCTCGACGGTTTAACCGAGATTGATGCTATCGATACTTAGACACGGCCCATTCACCGGTCTTGAAGCTAGGGTAAAGCATCACATGGAAGCGTTCCCAAAAGCCATGTTGATGGTTAGCGCTCGCCTAGACGCAGGTACTGCTGGACGCCCGACGACACTTCAGACCCGAAGCAGTTAGGATCCAGGCACCTCTACCAATGGCATGGAACTACGGAAGCCATCGTTCTGTTCCTGCAGGCACACGATGTCTGCCGTCTGAATCTGCACGATGGCCTCATGCCACCAAACGGCGCAGTCAGCGTCCGACCCTTCTCGCTCATGCAGGTACAGCCCTGTGGGCCAAGACTAGATATAGTGCAATCTCCCATGTCTTCTTTTCTCATCGTCAGTCGCACTGCTTTCCAGTTCGCCGTCAAGTCACTCTTTCGAGTCTACATCCTAATTGCAGCATTTTTGCTTGCGTCCTTTCGTTGAGCCCGCTCATCACGATCTTTACTGGCTCCCGGCCGTCCTATCATTCAAAATCGCATATCGTTGTTTATATCGTTAATACCATAATCATGTTTCCCTCGACCTTCACTCGCGCTGCTTTTGCAGCTGGACTCCTTGTCTCTGGCGCCGCTGCGACTTACAATGCTGCCGCTAAGACGAACATTGCTATGTACTGGGGTCAAGGATACGATCAGATCCCACTGATCGATGTTTGCACTGACCCGAACGTTGACATTGTCAACATCGGCTGTAAGTTACTCTATCTTTCATCTATCGACTAGGAAGCAATGCTAACAGTTCTGGAACAAAAAGTCATCACCAAGTTCCCTACAGTGGTCGGCGCATACCCCGGAAGCAACCATGCGAACGCATGTGGCAGTACTGTATATTACGATCCAGTCCTGAAAGAGGACAGCACTCTGTTCAATTCCTGCCCTGGCATAGAGGAGGCTATCAATGCTTGCCACAGGAGAGGCAAGAAGGTCATGCTCTCCCTTGGAGGCGGTTGGCCCACGGACTACTACCTCAAGGACAAAGACGTCGCAGAATGGACTGCTGAGTTCCTGCTCGGTGCCTACGGCAAAGTCACCCCTGAGTGGAAGGCTGCCGATATGCCGCGTCCGTTCGGCAACGCGTTCGTAGACGGCTTCGACTTCGATCTCGAAGCGCAATTCTACAACATGCCTGGAGGTGACGAGAAGTTTATCTACGCCAACTACGAACACTTCGGCAACTACGTCAAGACGCATTCGAACATGCTTCTCTCCGCTGCTCCCCAGTGTGTCGTCCCTGATGCTAGGATCTCCCCTATCATGAAGAAGTTGAAATTCGACATGATCTTCACCCAATTCTACAACACCTGGGAATGCTCTGCTGCCAAAGAGGTCGATGACAAGAAGAAGAAGCAGCCCAGCACTTTCACCTTCCAGAAGTGGATCGACGAGATCAAGGCCTCCGCGAACCCCGACGCCAAGTTCTACATTGGATTGCCTGCCGGTCCTGACGGCGTGGAGAGCCATAAGGACCACTACCTCGAGCCCCTTGACGCAGACTTCTTGCTTCGATTCTACAAGAACGACCCCAGCTTTGGTGGTGTTATGCTCTGGGAGGCGACTGTGTCTGTCAGGAACCCGACATATGGCCAGTCGTACGGTACATGGATGAAGAAGTCTCTTGAGGGCACCTTCATGAAGGATTTCCACCCCGTCGTGTCCTCCAGCACTCAGTCTTCGTCGACCGCTACCCCGACTTCGACCAAGCTATCATCCTCCAGTACTCCAGTCTCGTCTACGATGGTCTCGTCTTCCACTACCATCTCCAGCAGCGCTATGACTTCCAGCACCCCTGTCTCCAGCAGTATGGTCTCCTCCAGCACTCCTGCTCCCAGCAGCATGATCACCAGCAGCAGCGCCTCATCTTCGTCTGCCTACGTCACCTTGAGCTCGGTCTCCAGCAGCAGCTCTGTCCACGTTTCTTCCAGCTCGTCCGTCGCGGAATCGTCTTCTGTCGCCTCCAGCTCTTCTTCCGCCCAGGAGAGCAGCTCAGTCTACAGCGAGATGCCCACTGCTAGTGAGAGCGCCAGCTCCGTTGCTACCGTCAGCAGCACCATGATCGAGCCCTCGTCCATCGCTACCATCTCTGCATCTGCCTCCAGCAGCGAGTCGGTCTACGTTCCTCTCCCAACGGAGACTATCACTGCGAGTTCCATTGAGTCTGTCAGCAGCAGCATGGTCGAGTCTTCTTCCGTCCCTGAGATCACCGCCACTGTCAGCGCCAGCTCGGTGTACGAGACCTCCAGCACCATCGAATCTGCCAGCAGCAGCATGATTGAGTCGTCTTCCGTCCCTGAGATCACCGCCACTGTCAGCGCCAGCTCGGTATACGAGACTTCCAGCACCATCGAGACCGTCTCCAGCACCCTCATTGAGCCGTCATCTGTCGCCACGATCTCTGCTTCCGAGACCGCCAGCAGCTCCGTCTACGTTCCTTCCCCGAGCGAGACCTCTGCTTCCAGCGAAGTGTCCTCGTCGGCCTCAAGCTCCAGCGACATGTACCCTACTGGTTCAGTCTCTGCGTCCACCCCCGAGGCTGCGTCTTCTACCCCATACGTGCCTTCCATGGAGTACAGCATGTCATTCTCTGCCGTTTACCCATCCGAAGTCCACTCGTCTGTTGTCTACTCATCCGGTGTATACTCCACCGCATCGCCGATGTACCCCACCGACACTGTCTCTGCTACATACCCTGCTGAGAGCTCCAAGGGCTCTATTGCATCCAGCACTGGCCACGTGAGCATCCCATCCGTAACGGAGAAGCCTGAGTACCCCGAGTCTTCCAAGGTTCCCGCCGGCTCCACCACCTCAGTCGTCACAAGTAAGTTTGCAACAAATCCGATACCACAAAGATCATCACTAACATCTTCTAGCTACCTACGTCGATGTCTGCCCCACTGGCTTGACCACCGTCACCACCACCTACGTTGCGACCGTCTGCACTAAGTGCGCAAAGCCCACCGGCTCGACCGACGTACCTGAGGGCTGGACTACCAGCGTCTACACTGCCAGCACTGTCACCGTGACCATCACCAAGCCCATCGCTACCGCCACCCACGTGCCCGCATACCCATCCTCTGCTCCTTCCGTCGCATACCCTGCGGACTACCCGGCTAAGCCCGTGTCCTCAGGCAAGCCTGCATACTCTGCCGTCCCTGAGGCGTCTATGCCCGCGTACCCTGCGGTTCCTAAGCCCTCCAAGTCCGCCGAGTACCCGGCCGTTCCTGAGGCGTCTATGCCCGCATACCCTGTTGCGCCTGAGGCTTCCAAGGCTGCTGAGTACCCATCCGTCCCTGAAGCTTCCAAGGGCGCTGAGTACCCGTCTATGCCTGAGGCCTCCAAGGCCGCAGAATACCCTGCCATGCCCGAGTACCCCAAGAAGCCCGTCGAGCAGGAGGCCACCAGCACCATGTACATGACCCTCACCAAGGTCGCAATGTCCACCTACACTCCCGCTCCTTACCCAACTGCTGGAGGTGCTCCTTACGTCCCTGCCGGCCCTGCTATGAACGGTACCAGCATGTACGCGCCTATGCCTACTGGCACTGGTAAGCCTACCATGCCTTCCCAGTACATGCCACCTGCGGAGTTCGAGGGCGCTGCTAGCCGTGTTGGAGCTGGGCTCATGATGCTCGTTGGTGCTGTTGGTGCCGTTCTAATTCTCTAGGCAGGATGATTGGAGAGTGTTCTGTAGTAGTTTGGATGTTTACGTTTCTCATGTCAGTTCGTACGTTTTTTTAGATACCACTAGGTGTAGTTGTATGCCATGCGAGTACGCGCGATTATTCTTCCTGTTCATACTTCGTCAAGATTCAATTATGCCCGCCAACCTTCACAACGATGCAAGCCTAGAAGATGCTAGAAGTCCACACGCTTCGTGAAGACAAGTGACAGCATGCGCGTCAATCAGAAGGTCTTTCGTCGTGATGAATAGATAGCGCAATACCAGAAGCAATTTCGTGACTGTTGATAATGTCGAGGGCTGGCCCCGGCCTTTTAAAGATGTATGGGGGAAGACAGGCGTTGGGGATCGGCTGCGGGAGGCCGCGGGGGTGAAGCTTGGAGCTCCAAAACGTGGGTGGAGTCACCCTTCGTCATTCCCTTGCGGCCATGGAATACACGCGAACGCGCAACTTACACCAACGCCACAACCTCATTGTCGCGATGCCCGTACAGAAGCGATTTCACTTGCGTATTGTGCCACCTGATTGACTTTACCTGCACAGCCTCACATCGCACTTACTAAGCTGTTTTTGGAAGCATCGCCTCTGGTACCTCTTGCCTCTCGCGACTTCCTCGAGCTGCGCTTTCAATATCCATCCAGCCCCTAGCAAACTACACAACGTGTCACGATGAAGTACACTGTATACGATCGCTTACTTAAGCGTGAAGTCGGACAGCAGCCTAGGAAATACTCAGACATTCGATCGATATACGGCGACCGCAAATGGGTGGACGACCTCGATATCGTGAACGAACTAGAAGGTCATAATGGATGCGTCAATGCTCTCAGGTATGCAATCACCCTAATTATACATCGGTGTCATAGTCTGACTCTACCAGCTGGTCAACATCTGGCCGCCTCCTCGCCTCTGGCTCCGACGACCATCGCATCAACATCCACTCGTACCACCCCGAATCGTCGACGTCGCAGTTCAATCTTACCACCTCAATCCAGACAGGACATCAGTCCAATATCTTCTCCGTGAAGTTCATGCCCTACTCCAACGATCGCACAATTGTCAGTGCGACGGACGATGTACGGATATTCGATATCGAGCATTCAGGCCACTCGGCCCTCCGGTCTACAGGCAATGCGGGCAGTACAGGCAGAGCACGCCGTAGACTGACGCTCACAGAAGGGGATACCAACGCGAAGGCATTCCGTTGCCACGCCGACACGGTAAAGCGGATCGTCACTGAAGACAACCCCTTCTATTTCCTTACGTGCTCGAACGATGGCGAGGTACGACAATGGGATGTAAGGCAACCGTCCAAGGCATATCCACCTCCGCGAGACACTATGCTGCCCGCATGGGCGAGAGATGAAGACGCCTCAGACAGCATCCCGCCGCCACTCATCTCGTATGCTCGGTATGGACTGGATCTCAATACCGTGTCATGCTCGCCTAGTCAGCCGCATTACATTGCGCTAGGTGGGGCACATCTCCATTGCTTCTTGCATGACCGACGGATGCTTGGCCGCGATCTGAACAACGAGCGTGGATCTAGGCTATCGAGTCCAGAAAATTGGAACGATAATGACGATGAGCTATTAGGGAAGGCGACGCAATGTGTGAAGAAGTTTGCGCCCAACGGAAAGCAGCGCATGAAGAGAAATGATGGCGGTCACATTACAGCATGCAAAATCAGTGATGCCGAGCCGAACGAGCTCGTTGTGAGCTGGTCTCAGGATCACATCTACAGTTTCGATATTCTACGGGCGCCAGATGCTAGAGAGAACGTGACGCCCATCAAGACCTCGAATAGTGCATCTGGCCATCGCGTGAAGGACACGAACAGGAAGCGCAAGCGACCAAAGTCCAGCACCTTATCTCAAGAAGGCGTCGAGAGAGCCGAATCGAGACAACGTACCGAAAGTGCCGATGAAGACCTGGCACTGCGAGTGACATATGGAAACGGTCAGAGCGAAGATATCCGTATTCATCCTCCTGCTGAGAACCGCATGACCCAGGAGGAACTGAATGATCTACGAGCATCAGACCACTACCGCATCGCAAGTACAACCGTCAAGATAGCGAAACGAATTTTCGAGCTAGGTGAGCTTGGGGAGTCTGGAATTCACCTCGCATGCACGTCCATTGTGGGTCTAGCGAATTCGATCTTGCCCGACATGGACGACATCGATAGGACATGGGGCTATCCAATCGATCCAGATCCCGTGGACGTCGCAGTACAGAACAAGCTTCGCGATAGTAGGGCAGCGTCTCGTCGGTTCGTGCAAGCAGCCGGGACATTAGCACGGGTGCTAGGTGGACAGCTTTTGACTGGATCCAGCTCTGATGCCTTGATCGCCCAGTATTTCGCTTCAATACAACCAGCGCCGAGAGAGCGCGACCCACCACAACCCGAACAGTTTGGATACGACTTCCTGAAAGCCATACTGTTATGGATCGACAGTGGCCCCGGAGCAGTCGTGGAAGGATTTTCGAGCCGAAGTGGTAGTACTCGCTTTCCCATTCCCCATGGTTCTGATATGGACGCCATCCAAGAACGACTAATCCCATATCTGATCGAATTGGCAGACGACACTAAGATCGTCAACGTCGATGCTTCCAAGTATGAGACAGACAGCACTCGAGTTTTGTACGACTCTGAGTTTGAGGCTGTTGATGCGTTCGGCCATGCCATCACGATACCCTTTGCTGATCTCACCGGCGAGCATGAGTCCACGTCAGTGTCAGCATCGTCTAACGAGCCCACACAAACCCGAGCTACGGCAAAACGAAGATGGGTGTACTATGTTGGAAGGGGTGTTTTGCGCAATGCCGCCAAGGATATCAAGTTCGCTTTCGTAGACCGCGCTTACGGCGGCCAGGGCATATCAGACAAGACGATCAGAGCTGAAGAGAAGGCGTTGAGAGAGAAGCAGGAGGACATCGATCCCTCGGTAGACGAGGGTCCGGTCCGCGATGCAGAACTCGTCAGCACATCAACACGAGAGGGAGGCGACCAGGAAGAGGGTGTCTCCAGCTCTGCTAATGCAAACGAGTCGGGTTCTGTGGCCGTTGAGAGCGCCGATGAAGAGGATGAAGACGGAAATGAAGAAGAAGAGGACGACGATGATGACGATGAAGATAGTGATGGTGATATAGAATCGGATGATGGAGAAGAAGAGGATGACACTGACGACGAAGATGAAGAAGGACTAAGCCGTACAAGATCTGGAAACATGCTATGGCGATCAGACTTTGGCCGCAGTCGCTACGGGCGATGGAAGGTGGAGCGTGATGTACCTTGTGTACCTCATACACGTGTCTATACCGGGCATTGTAACGCTAGGACAGTCAAAGACGTCAACTACTTCGGACTGCAGGATGAGTATGTGGTCAGCGGAAGCGACTCTGGCCACGTGTTCATCTGGGATCGCAAGACAGCGGAACTTGTAAACATCCTGGAGGGAGATGGAGAGGTGGTCAACGTCATTCAAGGTAAGTCGAAGTACAACTGAACAAACATGGCGACGAAAGCTCTAACACGATCAGGTCACCCTTATGAACCTACAATGGCGGTTTCCGGTATCGACCACACGATCAAAATCTTCTCTCCAGATGCGCAGCTCCAGCGTAATGCACGGAAAGGTGTCGGAGTGCATTCGTCCGATCCGGCTGCTTTCTCCAGTCTGAACTTCGGTCGTCGCCGTCGCAACCTCGCTGCCGAACCTGAGGCTGAAAGTGAGCCTGCCGTCGATGCCCCTAGTGACAGTGACGATGAGGTTGCCCCTGGTGGACTCAGTAGTCGACGAAGGATGCATCAAGCTTATCAGATTACTAGTCAGAACGACATGGACAGGAAGGGTGGAAGAGACGACTACTTCATCAGCCAGGCTGTCTTCGCGCAATTGGCTCGTCATATTGCCCGTGGGCAGGGTGCTGGTGGTGGAGGTGATGAGGAAGGAGAGGGTGGTGGACCGGTTGTCATCACAGAAGAGAACTGCAATGTCATGTAGGCGAGACTGAACATCTGAACGACTTCATTACGCCTCTCGGCTTTCCAGCTACCAATCCAATTATATTGACGCAACTAAATGTTTTTGCGCCGTTCCAAGCTGACCCCTTTTGTGGAAGATTATTGCTCGCACCCAATGCCGTAAGCATTTATGAGGCCTTCTTCTGCTTAGCCTTCAGTGCCTTCTTTCGATTGCTCCTGATCATGACCACTGAGAGGAAGCTGCCGACGACCGTAGTGCCGAGGATGAGGAGGATGACGGGGATGCGGATGGCCCAAACGCGTGGGAGGAAGAGGGAGTGCAGGATGTGGTCGTCGTCTACAAAGGGCTGTATAGAGTCAGTATGTGTACCAGAACGAAGTGATCATACCAAAGCATACCATGAACAGAGTCCAGACAGTGTAGTAGACGAAGATGGCAGTCGCTGCGACGAGCATGCTGAGGCCTACGAGGCGATCGGCCTGTGATGGTTGGTCAGTGCACAGCCTTGAATGCTACACGTGTGAGAGCATACCATTGTGAAGATTGGCGAAAGAGTGAACGAGTGTATTAGCTTGGAGTAATGGTGGTTACAATCACCTCGCTGGCCCTTCCCTCAAAGTCGCGCCAAGCCAAGACCCCTGTCGGCGAAACCGCGGCCCGTTCGCCGCAACCTTCGATCGCCCAACCGCCTGTAAGCTAAACTTTTGCGAAGCGCGTCACTCTCCGCCTCAACACTCGCCATCCTCCACCTCCAACACGACTCACTGCGCGACGATGGAGGTCGCATCTGCCGTCCGTCTGCCCTCACCGGAGCCCGAGCTCGACGCCAAAGAGGTTCCGCGCAAACGCGAGCGCTCCCCATACGATGGACCGAGTGCTGGGCCATCAAAGCGAAGCAGGAGGGATGAAGAGGAGGATGACCGTCGTAATGGCGGTATTGGCCGTCGCCCGCCGCCAAAGCCTACGACCAACGACCTTCCGGATGACGACTCGCGCTTGAAGCTTTTCCAGAATGCCTTCAGCGCGAACCGTAAGCTGCCCGTTGACGACTCAAAGACACGTGCTGGAGGCGCGTATATCCCGCCTGCGCGCCTGCGCGAGATGCAGAAGTCGATTACGGATAAGAGCAGCCCTGAGTTTCAGCGCATGGCTTGGGAGGCGCTCAAGAAGTCGATCCAGGGTTTGATCAACAAGACGAATACTGCGAATATCAAGATGATTGTACCGGAGCTGTTCTCGGAGAACCTGGTGCGCGGACGTGGGCTGTTCTGCAGAGCTATCATGAAGGCGCAAGCGGCGAGTTTGCCTTTCACGCCCATCTACGCAGCTATGGTGTCTATTGTCAACACGAAACTGCCTCAAGTTGGCGATCTGCTGGTTCGGCGCCTGATTGTGCAGTTCAGGAAGGGCTTCAGGAGGAACGACAAGGCCGTGGCGCTATCGAGTACCATGTTCCTCTCTCACCTCGTCAACACGCAAGTCGTCCACGAGATCTTGATCGCCGAGATCCTGCTCCTCTTGCTCAACAAGCCCTCCGACGACTCTGTTGAGATCGCCGTCGGTATCATGAAAGAGGTCGGCGCTTTCCTCGACGAGATGAAGCCTGCGATCGCGAATGCCATCTTCGACCAGATGCGCAACATCCTCCACGAAGCCGACATCGACAAGCGCACACAATACATGATTGAGGTTCTTTTCGAGGTCCGACGCACAAAGTACAAGGACAACCCCGTTATCAGGGAGGACTTGGACCTGGTAGAGGAGGAGGATCAGATCACCCACAACCACACGCTTGAGGGTGATCTGAAAGTTGAGGATGGTCTCAACCTCTTCAAGGTCGATCCTGACTACGAAGCGCACGAGGCAGAGTACACGAAGATCAAGGCGGAGATTCTAGGTGAAGAGGAGGGTAGCGACGATGATGGATACACAGATGCGTCATCTGAGGATGAAGAGGACGAGGAAGTGAAGGCCATGGACGTCAAAGATCAGACCAACGCGGATCTCGTTAACCTGCGAAGAACGATCTATTTGACCATCAAGAGCAGCGGTGGCTTTGAGGAGTGCGTGCACAAACTCATGCGCATCAACCTGCCACATGGCTTGGAAAACGAGCTCACCACGATGATCGTCGAGTGCGCCAGTCAGGAGCGCACATACGAGAAGTTCTACGGCATGATTGGAGAGCGCTTCTGCAAGCTGAACAGAATGTGGACCGACCTTTTTGAGGAAGCATTCGCGCACTACTACGAGACTATACACCGCTTCGAAACGAACCGCCTTCGTATCATCGCGCAGTTTTTCGCGCATCTGCTAGCATCCGACGGTATCGGCTGGCACGTCTTCCAGGTGGTCAAGATGACGGAAGAAGACACAACCTCTAGTTCGCGTATCTTCGTCAAGATCTTGTTCGAAGAGCTGCTAGCTTCTCTCGGGCAGAAAGTCGTTGTGGAGCGCTTCAAGGACCCCATGCTACAAGACAGCCTTACTGGACTCTTCCCCACCGATGCCGACGACCAGAGCAAGACCCGCTTCTCCATCAACTACTTCACTGCGATCGGTATGGGTGTGCTTACTGAAGGCATGCGCGACTGGCTCAAGAACGCTGCGCCCAAGCCGAAACCGCTGCCCGAACCAGAGAGCGACTCCGACGACGACCGCAGCGTTTCATCAAGATCAAGCTACAGTTCGAGCAGCTACTCACGCTCCCGAAGCCCAGTCCGCAGAAGGCGCGACTCAAGATCCAGGTCCAGATCCGACTCTAGAGGCCGCTCGTACACACGCAGCCCTACGCCAGCCCGCAAACGTGGAGGCCGTGGCAGAAGCGACTCCTACAGCTCCGCATCCCGCTCTCGGTCCCGCTCTCCAGCACCACGCAAGCTCAAGAGCAAGCGCTCCTATTCAACCTCCCTCTCTCGATCACGCTCCCCCGCGCCTAGGAGACGCGGCCGCAGCCCCTCGTCCTCCCGATCCCGTTCTCCGCCCCCGAAATCCAAGACCACACGACGAGGACGCAGCCCCTCCGGCTCGCTATCCCGTTCTCCACCTCCGACACGCCGCCGGAAGTACACGTCCTCACCCTCGCGTTCGCCATCCCCGCCACCGCGCCGTCGTGGTCGTGATTCTAGCACTCCGCCTCCCAGGCGTAGACGTGGCTCGAGCAGTGCCCCGCCATCGAAGGGAAAAGGGAAGGCGAGGGCGGATAGTGGCAGTCCGCCGCCGCGTCGCACTCGCAGGAGGGATACTAGTTCCCCGCCGCCGCGGGAGAAGGCTAATGGGAAGGCGAGGGATGTTAGTGCTAGTCCGCCGCCGAGGATGAAGAGAGACGATAGTGGAAGTCCGGCACCGAGGGTCAAGAGGGATGGTAGTAGTCCGCCGTCGAGGAGACGGAGGGATTCGTAGGCTGGATTCTGGGTACAAGTTGATGAGTGAGAGGAATTGCAATCAGGGGATTTGGCGTCACATGCTTCGGTCAGGAGAAAGATTGCATGGATTGGTAGCGTTGTATTGATTTCTGGAAGCATAATTGCGGTGAGCGGGTGAGGGATGTATGTGGGGGAGGCTCGATATCGATGGACATTAGTATAGCTATAAAAAAGAGATATCATAGCATCGGCAACCAGTCTTCAGCACTTCTCCCCCAGCCATCCCGGTGTGCACTGTCCACGAAGCCCTACTCGTCTGACTTGTCCAAGGTCCGGCTCGCTGTGTGTGTATAGGGCTAGTAAAGACGACGCTGCGCTGCTTTACACTAAACCTCCGAAACGCAAACTAACGCCATACAAGCAGATCCTCTTGAGAAAGTGTCATAAGTCCAAGAACCAGAGCCCTGCTCTCTCCGTCTCCCCTCGCTATATTTACCCAAGACCTCGAAGCCAAAACGGATATCTGATCCTGGACGGCGGCGAAACAGAATCTGTGAAGGCGCTCCGGAATCCTGGTAGCGACCGATCTCAGCACAGCTTTGCGGTCGACTGGGCACAGATGGGTAACAGTGGGGATGTTTGTTGGCAGCAGGCCTGCGCCAGGGCAAGCTGGTATGAATCGACGGCGACATTATACTGCTTGGCCGAGTAGACAGTCGAGAGGACGCCAAACAGGATCGTTAGGAGGAAGACTCCGAAAACAGCCCCCCACAATTTTACAAACTCGACAGGATGTCTTGTATCCTTCATTGCTTGAAGTACAGTCTCCGGACGACTGTTCAACAGGTTTAGCAATTGTGCGAGACGGCTTCTCCAGTATACGAATTCGTTCAACTCAGTTGCTCGCAGAGACTCTGATGGGTTCTCAATCCACATTTGTACCCCAGATTTCTTCAGGAATGCTATTGTCTGCTTGTGGCCAACCGGAAACAAGAGGTCGAGAGTTCGAATGGCTTCGTCCAGGATGTCCGCTGATATGATCGGTGGTGTTGATCCGCTCCGGTGGTTTACAAGACAAGTCTTATGTCTGTAGATGAACAATCGGCGGTTTCCAGGGGACCCTTCAAGCTTCAAATGATCCACCAAGCTATCGGTCCAAAGTAGATTCATTCCGTGCGTACTCTTCAGGCCCATGGCGGTGAATGACGTGTCCAGCGGACAATTCTGTACGGACTGTGCTGCTTTCGTATGCTGAGAGAACTGAGCAGCGATCGCTTTCTCCAGAGATTGATCATCCGCCCAAGAGACACATGTATCCATCGGGTTCTTGACCAGATTGGGCGATTCGTTGGAGTGAAGATGTATCCCCAGCCAAAGTTGGACTGCAAGCTCAATGGAACCCGAGATAGGCTCATTTTTGAAGTTCTTAAAGTACATGCTCTCAATCTTAGCGACCAACTCTCTTCTCGTGCTATTCCGATCGGACCTTAGCACACCCACTATAGCAAGAAGGCCACCCCACTGTTCTGTCGCAAATCTGGAGTTGGGGGGATGCAGGCTCTGCAGTGTAAGACCCCAGAAGTTTAGCAAGCTTGCATATTTCTTGTCGTTGTACGTATGTTTTGAAAGGTTCAGCTGAGGCCAGAAAGAGTTGATTAAGGTACATTTCTCCTCTGATGTGAAGCGAAGAATGTCTTGCGAATAGGACTTGGAGAACAGCTCTTTACTGTCGAGCGACATGGTGGCGATTCATTCTAGTTTGTCGAAGTAATCACGACGCTGTCTTATGCGGTAAGGGAAACTGAGTGCATCCTCGTGTACAGGCGTTGCCCTTCAGTTAGACGCGGGGTATGCGGTTTAAAACGCAATAACCTGCTTCTCCAGTTCAAGCCTCAAAACGTCAGCGCGCATGTATGTCAGCTGTGACGTAGGTAGATTTTATCCGGTCAAGCCACGGACACCTTCAGCTGATGCCCCTCATCTTTTGGCATGCTCAAGACACTGCTCCCACTTTCTACAATGGCAAGCATCTAGGACTTAGTGTTCTGACGGAAGTCATATATAATGCGCGTCGCTTCGTAAGTTTATATTCAGATATTTGAGTGTTCTACTGAGTCGCAAGGCTGACAAGTCGCGCCTAGTGGCTTTTTGAGGTATCACCTTACCTCTCCACTCCAGCTACTGATCGTATACAAGGGCTACTAGCAATCAGGCCCCTTCAATATTGTCTTTTCACATCGCACGTCATTTTGGAACACTCCGAGCGAAGAAAAATGAACGGAGCCCTGTCACCGCTTCAAAAGCGAGCGCACTCAAGGCCGGTCGAGTTGGGCCATACTAGAAGAATTGATGGTTACCTTGTAGGCACCTTGAGAGATGCTCCGCCTCCGCTTCAACTGCAGAAAACGTTCGATACAGTTCACCGACAACTTGACACTACCCTTGCAGGGCTCACTAGGACGCTACCGTTGTCGGGCAAGAGAGATTCCATGATAGCTACTTATCTGTGTATGGCTGTCAAGCTTACCGTTCCACAACGTCTCAACAACAAAAGCCTATCTTCCCAAGATCAGATCCTGCTGGATCCCACGATTTGGATCGAATGCCATAACGAGAAGTGGATCAAGCCAATCTCACGATCACTGTCCCGTCTCGACTGGCTCATTGACTTCGTTAAACACCAACAACTATTGGGAATGCCTCATATATCTCCAAACGGCCCACATCCTCTTGCAATGGAACTTCCATGGAGTCTGGAGATTTCCACACACTCTTTTGCCATCCAAGATAATCCATCCCACTCGAGCACTGTTTGTGGGGCCAGAGCTAGGTTTAAAACGGAAACATCGGATGGCACTATCGAATGTTACTCCACTATTGGCGGTCTGATATATGTGAACGACCAGCTCTTCGCCATGACGACCGCCCACGCTTTCGTGGCTCATGCTCTCGAGTCACCTCAGTCCACGCGTAGTGAAAGCACCGAGCCAAACCTGGATGCTCACTCGCCTACAGCGCCACATTCGAATAATTGGACGGAGACGCGATTCCCAACAACATTCGCATATCTGGGCGAGGTATACGTTCGTGGGAGCAGGGTCGACGAGCCCATTGTCGGCGCTTCAGACTTTGCCTTGATAGATCCTGCATCATTCGACGTGTTGTCCAACATATATCACGATACAAATCGCAAGGTAGCCGACACTGTCTCTAGTATCGAAAAAATATCTGAACTGTGTGCTGGACCTGTATGGATCATTACAAGCCTCCGTGATGACCCAGACGAGGGTTATATGGTGGAGGGCAATGCTTCCATCATTGTGAAAGGTGTTGTAATGCCTACAAAAATGATTCAGGTCACCATGACTCCAGGTAAGTTTGTGTTTCTAGCACGCTGGAAGTAAGCTAAAGTTCGGGGTAGATCTTGGCTTATCGGGATCTTGGGTTGTTCAAGAGGGGAAACTCCTTGGGGTTATATACGCAGGCAATGCCTCAAGCTCATATCTTCACATGCTGCCAGCTGAAACGGTGTTGAAGGATGTGAAACGAGTAGTTAACTCGGACACCGTGAGGGTGGCGACTGCGCAGGACATATCTGAATACGAGGCTCGACGAAGATCACGCAGGTCCAAAGATCAAGGTAAAATATAACCGCATAGGAACAAATATTGTAAGGGTTGCTGACGAGTTCGATAAGATGTCTTCGCTTCTACGTTACCTCGTGAACGACACTCCGCAGTACTAACCGAGCATCTATCGGAATCTTCACGTTCAGAGCGTGCATCTGCAGACGAGCCAGCCCACAGCCGTCCGACATACACGGATGATGTAGGTGTTCGCTTCCGAAAACTCTTATAGTTACATGCGGGTTAATGAGACTGTAGGTATATTGGAGACCATCTCCAGAAACCCCTAGAGCTCGTGAGACCTTCCTCAGTCCAGAATATCTCCCTTATGGTATCACTGTCGCATCTCAGGGTCGGGGTGACTTTGAGCAGGGCCGGGGTGACTTTGAGCAGGATCGGGGTGACTTCGAGTATGGTCGGGGTGACCGAAGTAAAAGTGATGATGAAAGTCCGGCTGATGAGGCAAAGAGTTCGGCTGCATATGATCTGCAGTTTGGGACCGGTAGATACTTCTGAGGCTATCTTTTGTACACATGAGATGAATTTCAAAGCTACGATGCAATATTGTATGCGAGACTGCATCGTGGAAGATCATCAGCCCACTGTACCCGTAAATTTGTACTACGACCCATTAGCAAAGCGCTTCAGTCTGAGAGCTCCGGATAGTTTGCGTCCGCCTTACAGCAATCCCCAGATATCTCGAATATCGTCAGGCGCATGGTGAGAGCTGGAGCAGCGTTCGCAATGCCAGACTGCGCAAAGGCGCTACTCCACAATGGTGCTCCCATCAACGCACTCGAACGTAAGATCCGGTTCCGTTTCCAGGATGGGATACAGGTAGACGATAAGATAAACGTAACGCCTCTCGATAGACTGGAGGCTACCAAGAGTTTCAAATGAAAGATGGTAGACCAGCGCAAACTATTGTCAACCCAACGATTTGGAAGCCTTGAAGATCGATTGGATGCAGTAAAAAGACATATGTATAACGAGGGTGGAACATCTCACACATTGGAAATGATTCGCGATCATCGGCTATGATGGAGTACAACTGATTGAGTCCTGGAGATCAAGGGCTGTGGTGGAGTCGTGTTCAAATTGCAAATGTTTCCGATGACGTAATTGCTACTGTTAGTTGGCGGAGCTTGTCGGATGCCTCATCGCAACAGCGTGAGGTCTGTATAATATCGCAGCTCAAGGACATCATCAGGTGTTGAGGCGATGCATGTATGCAACAGAATCCAAAGGGTGATGGCCGGCGGTGTGGGGTGATGGAAAGATGAAGCATCGCGATTGCTGTTTGTGGACGTGCGAAAAGGGGACTGCCGACAGGGATTATCGATAGCGAGGCAACAACGATGCGGTGCTCGGAACAACAAAGTCTTACGACTTAATCCTATTGCTTTCTTTCAATGCGACTCTTGCGATTGTTGCTCTCACATAATACGACACTTGTTTGCAGAAGCGTCAAAGGGCGACGCGCGCTCGTTGCCGACGTGACATCTCCACAGTCGCGTCTTTGTTTCCATCACCATCTGTTTACTCACCCCACTACCACTACAATCAGTGCGCTTGCACATATATGAGTCAAATACAACTGTGCACGCATTCGTTACTCATCAATTTCGCGAACTTCACGTCCACGCCTTGTCAATCGAACGCGCTTACTCCAGCGACTAAACACCTTCGCAACTAAACACGATCCGGATGGCCACCAAATACGATTCTGTAAAGTGCAAGTCATGTGCTAGAGTCCTCGCCGTGGTATCCGCGACTGGACTTGTACCTACGACCTCGCCGGATGCCTCCCATGCAGGATGCAGCACATGTCAGCGATTTGACTCTCTGTATGACGCGATTAGAGAAGCCGATACTGAATGGGCTGTACTCGAAAACAAGCGCGACTCAATCAGTAAATCATTCGCGCGAGACAACCACAAGAGGGCTCATATGGAGTTCGACAACTGGTTGATGACTGTCGAAGCGCCTGGACCAGCAAGAGACGCGCAGAATGAACACCCGGAGAACAAGGACCATGGAGGAGGAGACTTTATCAACGACGACAAACAAGATATAGCTGGTCCCAAGCGTCGAAGATCACATTCGCCTACTACCCAGCGTTCTGGAGAATCATCCGATACAGCACCACATGGACAGCAAGGCATATCGCTGTCTCTCAGGCCATCGCCTGAAAGATCGCACAGCTCATCAGCTTCGATATCACGCAAGCGGCTCAAATTTTCTGATTCAGTCGAGTTCCATGAGAATTACAGGACCAGTGAGCAGTATCACCGACCGAGCGAAACGTACGCGCGAGGGAGAAATGCGCCGCCTGAGGGATCCGAGTACATGGACACTAGTGGATCGGGTCTGACCTTCCTGAAGTTCACCGGTATGAAGAAAGTTGGCGCCAAATGGGTTGAGCTGAGCGAGGAAGAGCTTGCAAAGCAGAGCGAAAAAGCAAAGACATGGGCGCAGCTGCGGAAACTCGCAACTGCAGGGAAACCGAAAGCTGATACACCGGAGGCCGATGCAGAAGTAGAGGTGAGGCAGGATGACGATGCTCCTCAAGATGCTCGTGCAGCAAGACTTGCGCGAAGAGCTAAGGGAACAAGCGCGGAATCAGTGCAAGCTCGGGGCACGACAAGTAGACGGGGCCGGGGCACCTTGCGAAAAGGGAAACAACCATCGCTTGTCAGTGCAGTGGATGATGTCCCAGAGACTGCGTGTGACTCTACCCTCGTCTCGAATACCACAACAACAACACATGGAAATGATCATCATTCGGACGGAGATCTAGGTCGGGTGGAGATCATCGCATCTGGAGACGACGGTCTGGAGCGAAGACATGACGCTGTTCCCAGAACAGAAACCACAGCGGCACTGTGCGCCGATCAAGTACGAGAGCCAGCCACACCCCACGAGGAGCCCCACAAGGATATGCAAGTGACTAGCGAGGCAATGTGCCAGAGTATTGCAGCTCAGCCAAACATCAGTAGTGTGGAGTCTCAACCAACAGTCGTATCTGGATACGACCAATCGCAACCCGAGCCAAGGAAGAATGCCTTATGCACAGATCATGCTGCACCGGAAATTGAGATACCTGAGGCGTCG